AAATTAAGAATGTCGAGTAAAAATTCATGCAAATTCAGACAAAAACTGGTCTTTTCAGACTTTTTGACTTTTGTAGTGAAGTCTGAGTGTTATAATTATCAAGGAATCTTGACATTCTCTAGATATTTGGGTATTTTGATTGTAATTTCATAGATATGAACATTACTTAGGTACACGTTTTCATTGTTTTGCCTATTTTTTTCCTTCAAGAAGATGGAATTCGACGGTTACTCTCTATCATTTACGAGAACGTCATTTTTTTTTAAATTTAATTTGATACTGAAAGTTTTCTTATAACAAAAGTAAATGTATTTTTATATATTTTGTAAAAGGCATGTATAATGTTTATTTTTGACTGGAAAATACTTTTAGACTAGAAACTTATTTTCGAAGTGAAATGAGGTACATATTTTCAAATATTTAAAACCAATAATCGAGTTTATTATTTCGTTATAAATTCTGTGAGGAGATGGAAATTTGACATTTAATTTAGAAATTTTGAAAAAGGTATCTGGATTTTTTAATATTTGTCGCAGGTAATATGTTGTCAGGCATGCGCAGTTCAAGAAGAGACATTTCTAATGTTTGCTGAACTAGAAAAAACTTTTACACATTCTTATTAAAACGATGGTAGTTGCTAGATATTTTCTTGTTTTATTTTTGCCTCGCCTGCTAAGAATTCGCGGGAGCGAGACATAGCAATAAAAATTCCGTTGTCGTCGTCAACATATTCCCCTTTTTTAGACCCTTGATTGGTTAATAAAGTATGTTATCTAAACATGTTGATAGAATATTTGTTAACACACAAGTTCAAGTTTTTTTAGAAATTAAATAAAATCATTAAATCATAATGGAATTTCATAAAAATTAATTCAGCGGTGGATTTAACAACTTCAGTGCATGAATTTACATCTGAAGCGGTGGTTTTATATCTGCAGCCTTAAGCGCTGTAGTTTATATATGAGAACTATTTCATCTCTGTGAGACAAGCAGGGCTTCGTAGTAATCAGACGGGAGATTGAACTTAATTCAGTAAATATGTTTTTAGCTGTAGAGTAGAGGCGAGTATATCTTACCATAATCAGTTACTTCTTTGTTTAGTTAACTTAAGGGTAATGTGAGCTTTTGCTATCACTTTGCGTCTGTCGTCGTGAACTTTTCGCATTTTCATCTTATGAAACCGCTAGGCAAATTCAAATCAAATTTTGCTGGAATGTTGAATGGATAGCCGTCGGATTTGAAAGTTTAGTTAACACCGGCGCTACCCATATAGCCGCAATATGGTCCTACTTTAAAAAAAAGAGACATAGGAACATATTAGAATTTCTTCATAGGTCAACTCTTCTAAAACCACTGAACCAATTTAAACAAAGCTTGGTCAAAATAGTCGTATTATAGCCCCCTTTACAAATTATGTTCGGTTTACTCGGGCGCCATCTGTATTGATAACTATTGGTTAACCATAGAAAGGACCGCATATTAAATATCAAATTATTAATCTCGTCTTATAGTATAATTTATTCAAAAAGGGGATTTTACAGCAATCAATAACTATTAGTTCATCTGACCCAAAGAGTCAGTGTGAGCCATGCAATCACTTTGCGTTCGTTGTCCGTCGTCCGTCTATTAACGTTTAATATTTTGATCAACTCCTCCTAAACCCCAAAAGCAAATTGAACTAAACTTAGCAGGAATAGGGTATGAAAGGTTCTTTACAAAGATTGCTTATTTCGTTCCGATCCATGGAAAACATGGCCGCTAGTGCAGGAAAAGTTTTAACATTAACCCTATGGGAGAAATATTTTGATCAGTTCCTCCGAAAATACTGATACATTGAACCAAACTACAGGAATGACGTATATATGGAAGGTCCTTTACAAAGATTGCTCATTTTGTATCGATCCGCCAAAAACATGACAGCAAGTGCAGAACATATTTTAACATGAAGACCCTAAGGGTAACGTGTTAATGGTAATCTTTTCTGAAACTTGTTTGCCAACTGGAACCCAATTTTGTCAAAAAAGTGTTTTGGTAGTCCTTTTTATAAAATATGTCTGACATGTCCTTCCTGCATCCAAGATGGCCACCAGCGCAGACCATTTATTTGTAGTTTAACATTTGATCCTATTGGGAAATGTAAACACAAATTTTCGAAAACTACTTGGAGAACTGGAACCGAACTTGGTCACCATTGACTTTTGGTGATTCATTATGGATTTAAATCATTCCCCGCAGGTCTCCACTACATCCGCAAGGGCTACGAGCGTGGGACATAGATACATTGGACCATATGCATTGAAATGAACTCTAATAATCATCGTGTCACAAATGATATTACCTGGGTTAATTTTTGACTCTGTAGGCGCTTTTTGTTACCTGAAGTATTGGTGTAGGTAATGTTTATTAGTTTGCTTCAGAAGCATTTTTGTGCCAGGTGAGCGATACAGACTCAGCCCATTGAGCTCTAGATATTTTTGCAAATTATTGATCTTTATACAGGTGTTAATCATTAATTAGTCATTAATTAGTACAACGGCATGTGTAAAGGGTAAATTAGTAAGCTTGTGATGCAAACGACTTTGAACAAACACAGTTTAGATGAGTGTAAGTGCATGAGATAAAAAAAAAACACCAATATGAATATACAGCGGGGTCTAACAATTGGTGTGATTTGCATTTATTTGCGGGAATGCTAAACCTAAAACGACCGCCGTCATTCACAGCGTCAATTTCTAAAACTAAAATTATGTGAGCTGGGATGAACTCTTTCTGTTTTGTTGATAAATTGGTTGAATGGGGTTTTTTCCGCCGACCTTGGACAACCCTTACTAATCACTAACTGTTGCATGTCGAGTGCACCCTTTTATGATGTTTACACAGAGCGAACTCGCAACGCAGAGGTGAAAGGCTATACATTACCCAGAAATGATTTTTTACCGTCTTTTTGGTATTATAATCCATTATTTGGGGCGCTTTGAGACCCATCCACCTAATATTGTTCGCTTAGCGAGAATGTCCGACTAGTTACGATTGTAAATCCACGCGATGTGTTCCGGTTGATATTAATATGTACCAAGAGTTCCGGTGGCTAGGATGTTAATCATGTAATGAAAATTCATTTAATTTAGTAGTGCATATAAATCTCAGTGTGTCTTTTATCTCAGTGTGTGGCTCTAGAAGACGCACTTTCGCCTCCCCGATGATGAGAGCTGGTAAACTGTACCATTCAACGTGAAGATTTGGTCTTGATCTCCCCTGCAAGACATGCAGGCCAACAACCGTGCAACCGTGGCTAGAAACCAGAGTTCTGGACTTTCACACCAAAATGTAAAACTAAAATACATTTTTAAAAAAAGGCGTCTTTCGGACGAACCTCTTCAAAATGTCCATGAGAGACCCTAATGGGTATTCAATGACTAAAACCACCATTCTTACTATCTCAGTGTGTAATTTTTTTTTAAATTTTCAGTGTGTGATTTATAAATCTCAGTGTGTTTTTATTTTTTTTAACCTCGGGTGTGCTACTCTTTTTTTTTTTTTTTTTAATCTCCGTATGTCTTTTTGAAATCTTAGTGTGTGATTTATAAATCTCAGTGTGTTTTTATTTTTTTTAACCTCGGGTGTGCTACTCTTTCTTTCTCGAAAAATGGCTTAAACATAGTTTTGACGAGAAGGGCTTGCTATAGAACACGTCATATTTGACAACACCACTATTGAGGTATTTTGGTGAATACATGTCAGTCTACTACTTGTTATTTGACATTGGCCTCAGATGCACGATCTAGTGAGCTAAAAAATACTTTGTAAAATTGGCGACCAAATTTCTTATACAAGTCCTCGGCAACTGTACTTTTGATTGACCGGATCCCGTGGATATATTTATATCATTTTTGTATAGATACTCGGAACCCGGTCAATCAAACCATCGTTTGTTACCGGCCCTGTGTATATATAGGTGTAATACCACCAAAACCACTGACCCCACTTCCGGTTTCATGTAATCAAGAGGCTAGAAAATAATCCCCTAAGTTTGACAGTTGTGAGGAGTTATACCCTGCATTTCACTGCAGATCTTTTTTTCTGAGGCAGAAATGTTTATGATCATAATGGAAGCAGTTTTTTTTTATTTGATGTTTCTGTAAAATATCTGTGCAATATTAGGTGACGTCCTAGTTTATGCCTGTAAACATGAAATGACAGTAAAGAAATGGCAATGTGACATCCAGTGAATTTTATTTTCTTATATGCAATGAAACCTTGTGTGATTTTTTCACAGTTGCATTGGAGCATTGGACAGGAATAAACTTGATTCAAAACAAATATGATTTTTTTGAAACAAAGATAAATCCTGTACAATTTTTTGAAAACCTTTAATTTAACAAAGACTGATAGGGAAAAAACTTTGGTGGTATGACACCATGTTTGGTCTATTTTTACATCTAGTTAGTTACATGCCAGTGTGACAGCCTCTATTCAATCCCTCAACAAATAAATAAATAGACTCACCATATTTGAGCTTTTGTTACACTTCTAAATGAATATATGTCAGTCTGGCAGTTGTTGTCTGACCTTAACCTCAGTTTCACGCTAGAGTGATTGTTATCATATCGAGTTTGAAGTACTGATAAAGCAACCACTAAAGTTTGAATTGACATTGCTTGGACGCTACATGTCAGTCTGACACCTTTCACTTGACCTTGACCTCAATCTTATGCTTGAATAACCGTTATAATATCTTTATATAATAAGTCTACTTTGTCCAACGTCTTAACACCTGTCATATGATTTATCAAATTCACTTTGCATCATATTTTTTTTTTATTCGGCAAACGAATACCGAAGCAAAAAGCTGAAAGGGATAATTCAGAAAATCATATATCAAGAACATGGCGATACAAAGATTACACAAAAAGAGACAATTGAAATACCAAGGGTAAAGTTGAACACGAACACGACAAAAAAATATCATCATGTCCTCCGGAAGGATAAGCATGATCTGCTCAACATGTGCCGTCATACTGCAAGTAAAAGGTTGTGGGTGTCAGTCTGAATCTACCTAATTAATTGTGAGATAGAAACATAGTAACGATCTATTGTGACCAAGTTTGAATCCAATTGGCCTTTATGTTTTAGAAAATTAGATTTTAGAACGATTTCCCCATATGATTCAATTTAAACTATGTTTTACGCTGGCAGTCATCTTGCATTGGATGCAAACCTGTCGGTCAGAGTTTAGTAGTTTGTGACACCAAAATATATCAAAAGATTTTTCCCATAGGGTTCAATATTAACCTTAGTTTGTTATGTGCTGGCGGCCATCTTGGATCATTGGGCTGACATGTCTGAAAACTTTCATGAAGGAGAACACCAAACGACTACAATTAAATTGTAATAAAGGAAGTAAAAAAAGATATGGGTTAAAACCCAAAGCCATCCGAATAAATGCTGAATTTAAACACAAAGTACTACATGTATACAGACTTCAACAATGAATTAAGCAAACATTGCATTGCAAGCTGTTGCTGGCCCCTAAAACAAGCAAAACTGACATAATTATAATTCGTCCAGCACAACAAAAATTCTGAATAAGACATCACAATAAAAATGAAGCACTAGAACAACCATTGCTGAAAGTTAAGTTTGATTTCAGGCTCATTCTCCACACAAAAAGATAATGATTGCCAATAAAAAATGTACATCAATACTCGAGAAACACAACTGGTTAGCATGAGTAGGGACAATATAAGGTTCTAGACAAATTGATAAGCAACCTACTGGTCCAAGGGAGCAACCATTTAAAGTAAGGGTCGTTATGTTGTTTTTCTTTAGTATTCTTTCTTTCGTGTTGTGGAGAAAAGAAATCTGATCAGGAGACTAACAAAAAAATATTCTGTTCACAAAAGAAGTGAAATATATTTCTGGTGTTCATTTTGAGCGAAAAAAAAAACATTTCCAAAACTAAAAAGAACCATACCCCACCTCCCCCCCCCTTTGAAATTAAATTGTTGTTCACTAAGCATTGTCCTTACACACTTATATTCGTTACCACGAGGATAGAGTAGTTAAATTGCCGGTAAATGTTGATCTGGTCTTTTCAATTTGATACCCAATTTGATTTAAATTGTCGCAAACTGTGCTCATTTACCAGGCTCCATGTTGAAGACCGTACTATAATTGTTAACTTAAAATACATTGTGAGTTGGATGGAGAGTTGTCTCATTGGCACTCATACCACATCTTCTTATTTATAGTGAGAAAAGATCAAGTTGAAAAATTGCTGAAGATAGTCAATGCAAACATTTAAGAAAGCAAGCTCTAAGGGTTCGGAGAACGAATTCGTATAATATATATTCTATAGTCAAATGAAAGAAGGCAATAAACTATGATACTACTATTTGTACTTCATTCTTTAATCTGAATAATTAAAAGGAACCTGGCATTCCGATTTTATAACTTTAAGTACATATTGATATAAAATTGCTTTTTCAAATTCACAACTCGGCCAATTCATGTTTGAGAATCTGTCTCAAAGTAACATAGAGTTTCTTGCATTCATTTGTATTAGAAGGTTTCATTGAGTTGTTTTCTGTCATCAATCCTGTACATAATTCAAATACAGTTTCATCACACATCTTTTTTGGTGTCGTTTCTCCCTCGCACACAAGGACTTCCATCTCGTCTGTTGAATATAAGCGATCCTCTGCATTGTAGATATGTGGTATACTATACAGTAAAATAGGTCGTTTGCCACTTCCATTGCCAGGTTTTTTTCTGCATAGTATGTGTATTCCAAGTGCACCGAAGATCATCTAGATCTGACTGGAAATGAAGAAAAGCTTTTAATATCAGTATAGAGGTCGACATCAACAGCTTTATACTACACCGAAGACGAATATTACTAGTAAGAACTAGAACGTATCGACATAAAGAAAACAAGCGTGGACACAGACATGCATGGATAGTATCCAGCATTCAAAACCAATACTGGTCTGGACCTGCATCACTGCATATATTTGCTCTACAGCAAATCTAAAACAATTCCTTCAATGAAAACCAAAAAATTTTGTCTAACAATTTTCCTTGTACATTAAGTGGCTAAATTTCAAACTATCGGCAAACAGGAAGTGGCTGCACCATAAATCTAAAAATAGCTTACACGTTACAACTCAACATGATCAAGCTCTGGACCAAATATAAAATCATTCCCTTTCATAGAAGCCAAGAAAACTTTGACGAAAAATTTTCCTTGTACAATGAGTAGCTAAATTTCAAACTTATCGGCAAACAGGAAGTGGCTGCACCGCAGATTTTACAATTGCTTACACGTTACAACTCAACATGATCAAGCTCTGGACCAAATATAAAATCATTCATTTAATAGAAGCCAAGAAATCTTTGACGAAAGTTGATATGCAAGGTCTTTCGGACGGACGGAATGACGGACGGAGTCGAGCGGTTACTAGAACTGCTTTCACCCTTGGTGACGCAGGTAAAAATAACATGCTATCAGTAGAATAAAATACGATGTTAACTCTTTTTATGAAATACAAACTGTAGGCTGGGCTATATAGTTAGACATACATTTTTGGATAAACCTTTCGAAGTGTAAATCATTGCGTGTATATGTATTGTGTCTGTTTGGCTTGGCTCTCAGACTACCATTTTATCCAACGTTATCTCGAACATATAAAAAGCCTCAGAAAATCTGTTCCATCCTTTATACAAGATGAAAATAATGGTAATGGAATAATATTAGAAATTTCTCATACCCTGCAGTATTTTTTAATCAAAAAGCGTGATAATCATGAAAACAGTGTTAATTTGATCATACGAGCCGCTCCGTGCGAAAAGGTATAAAACCCATGAAATACAATTTTTTTAGGAAAGGTGTGAAAAGTTTGCATTGAAAACTTGAGGGAGATACACTTTAATCGTTGTTAAAAATACATGAGTTGATAAGTGCCCGACAAAATTCGGTGTTTCATCCACAGGCGCTTGGGTATAGGATACGATTTTTTTTTTGGATTTTTTTTGTTGTTGATTAAATATCATTATACTACATATCTATCACTTCTGTGCATGTCTTATCTAGTTTCGAGTGATTTTACCAACTCTTATACAACCTCCATTTTACTATCCACACTAAGAAACAGTAAAATGGGGGTTGTATCACAGTTGGTAAAATCACACAAAAAAATCGTATCCTATACCCAAGCGCCTGTGGTTTCATCATATTTATATCCATGTTTTGCTTTTTTTCTATATGCCTATATATTCCACCCGTACACATGCGGTCTCGGTAGTTTTTACTACATTAATGTACATGAAAGGCAGTGACAGTGAATATTATAAAGAAATATAAACAAAACAATATTACCATTTTTTAAATGAAGATTAGTGTGCAAGACACAAACAAACAAATGAAATAATGCTTATGAATTAACACAAAAAAAAACACAAATTAAAATTGGATATACCATGAATGCGATTGTGATCTTCGAGCAAAACATATCTAGTTCAAAGGAAATTAAAATGTTTGTCGGTAAAAAAAAACTCTTAATAGCTACTGTTGTTGTGTTGTTTCTCTCTCGAGCACAGGCATTTCCATTTCGTCTATTAAACAGCGATCCTGATTTCCCACATTAAATGACATTTGTATCGCGTTTTTCTTTATAGATTGGTTTGTCAGGATTGAACTCTGAAGTTGGAGAACGACTTAAAGAACGAATTAAAGATCAAATGCATTTCTGCCAAATATTTTAGAATGATATCTTAAAATGTAATCACGTTCATAATAAAAACCAGTGACAACTTTCTTTATTCCTTTAATTTTAGACGTTTCGTGTAATCTCTTTTATTGCTTTGGATGTATATATTGAAACTTAAAGTCTATAAAATTGAAAAATATTGAATAAGTTTTGAACCATACGTGTACGGTTTCATTTTCATATGGTTCAGCTCTTTCATGTAGATGATCTTTTATATACGTATATGGTCAAGGCCATACACGTAAGGTCCAGATACTTATAAATGATCTGTCAAGATTATATGTAAAACGATTTACCTGAATTATATCCATAAAGCAAAACTGAATAACACTCTTGTCAACGAAGTCTCCACAAAACATATCATGTCCATCTTTGCAAAGATCTGCAAAAAGATCCATGTAATATTGTACCATCTGCTTTCTAAGTATACTCCAAAACCATTCAATTCTTTGGTTATGTGTGCTTTTCCCGGACAGGTAACTTTTATCACCGGCAAATTCATCATTGTGGTTACGACGTAAAAACTTCTGCATGTTCGCTACGTATACATTTTCAGTTCCGAAATCAAATCTAACTCTTTGGGGACATCCTGCTTTCTCTTTTACTGCCTTAATACAATAATTTGAAATTACTTTAGGATCATTGTTAGTAGTCCCTGCTTCTAACCAAACCATGTACCTTAAAAAGCCGTCTATACACCAGTTTATTGCGATGCCATATGGCTTTAATTTGTCGTAAGAGTCTATGTGCCAAGCAAAATTAGGTCCTGGACTTGCGTATTGTCGACGTCTCAATTTTCTGCTTAGTCTACACTTGACTCCGTCGGGATCTATAATTTTCATCAACTGACTGACAGTATCCCTAGGAATGTTAAGTCCAGATTGTATACATTTTAAGTGCATCCATCGATAACCGCGAAGCTTTCCTGAAGTTTCTTGCTGTTGTAAGATAAACACGGCAACCTCTAATAGATCAGCATATTTTTTTCTCCGGAATAATCCAAGAAATCTTAATCTTCTTTTGAGTGTTGACATACTTATCACTAATTTGTTCAAATGAGCTAAGAGCAATAATATCTCCTTGTTACTAAATCCAACTTTAAAGTAAAGTTGAAAGTACTTATTTTGGAAATTCATCTTTTACTTTCTATAACAACCTTCTTACGACTACATATATATGTAATTTTATATCGTAATAACGAGATAGTTTTCTCGTAATTACGCGATAGTTATCTCGTAATTACGCGATAATTATCTCGTAATTACGAGATAAAAAAAATCTTAACTCGTAATTACGCGATATTTTTTTTGTGTGACCCTAATAGGCTTATATCGCGTTACGTCCTTTAAAATTATTTCCATTGGTGAACACTTTTTCAAGGAATTAGCCATCGATATATCCAAAGGGCAAAACGTCCGGATCAATGAAGATAAAAAATACAAAAAACTCTCCATTCCTGAAAAATAATGGAGAGTTTAAACAAAAGATTTACGTAACAGATGTATTTTAATGGTGAGTGTCAGTTTATTGAGATAGTCTAAGAATATATTTCTATGGTTATAATACCCATAATTGTAGATGTCTGGTAGAATCAAGGAAGCTAAATTTAGATTTTTATATAAAAACAAAAATGCCATGCATCTCATGTATAAATTTAATGCTGTAAAATGAATTAAAAGAGATAAATGTATGGCACATACATGTATGCCAATGTGCCAGCAACAAAAAAAAAACGAGAATAACTAAAATACATCAATAGGGAGAATTACTCTTTCAGAAAAACCGCACAGGTGTCCATATACTATGTCAAACTTTAAATCGACCCGAGTTAATAAGAATTATGAATAAACTTAACTAAAAGCCATTTGCAACCAATTATTCAATTAACGAAGAACATAAAGATATTACATACGGTAACTACTGACGAGGTTACAGATTTGGGACAGGCACATGAAAAGTTGACGTATTTTATCTAATCTTAACCTCTCCATATTCTAATTACAATAAGTAAGATATAGGAATGGGTGAAAAATGTGTCTAGATCTTATCTAGATCATATCCATGTCATATTACTGTGTAACACAATTTTATGTTTACATGTATGTTAATTGTGTTTCCTTTTCTTATTGTTGTATTACTTCTCAATTGTTTCCTATTTTTATATAACTTCTCAATTGTTTCTCTCCTCAAGTTGGTAGTTATATAGACTCATTATTACGGAAGCCCATTTAGGACATTCCTAAAATATAATTTGAATTCGAAATCACGAATTTAAATCGTTATCACGAATTGTATAATTCGTTATAACAGATTAAATTTGTGATTTCGAATTGGTACAAATCGTTATACCAGATTTTATAATTCGTAATTACGAATTAAATTCGTAATAACCATTTTTTGTAATTTGTGATAACGAATTAAAATCGTTTTAACGAATTGTATAATTTGTTATAACGGATTATATTCGTGATAACGAATTTGTGGAATTCGTTATCACAGTTTTTTTGTAATTTGTGATTTCGGATTAAAATTCTTTATCACAGATTTTTAGCTCACCTGATCCACAGGGTTGAGTGAGCTTTTCTGCTCACTTTACGCCCGTCGCTGTTCATTACTTTTACAAAAATCTTCTTCACTGAAACCTTTTTGCCAAATTGAAACAAACTTGACCACAATCCGGGGCGATTTAGTTTCAACGCATTTTATTTGCAAAATTAGCAAACGCGATTGGACACAAACTGACACAACATTAGTGACGTCTTCTCCATGTACAAATATAAACACAAAAACACTGTACCTAGAAGATTTGTAGTGTAAAATGGGTGTGTTAACTCACAAACTGATATGTAAGTTTATTAGTCAGCGACCCAGTTTACACACCAAAAATCTCCAGAAAAAAAATGTGTCTAATCCACATATTTCTTGACCGATATAGTTTTATTCCTTATTTTTCATTTAAAGTCTTTTTAGACCGGGGAATATCATTAGTGTGTATCGCGCATGGATACATTTTACACAGAGGCAACGAAAGTAGTTTCACCAACATGGTTTATCGAAGTGTAAACCTAGGAAAGAAAAGCTAACAGACCAATCACATTTATTGATATGCTAATAATATAACAATTATCTAATTATGACGTAAACATAATAGGAGTGCATGTAGTTCAAAAACTAACACAAGATATAAAGAGGAATAAAATAGAATATAAGTGCACAAGTAGATAAGGCTAGCCTGGAGTGAAGTGAAGTGAGAGCAATAAATCATGGTTTCTAGTTTGAAGAATGTGTGTAATGAGCCCGTAAGCGTAACAAAATGGACGACATGGCCTAAAATAGAACACAAGGGTAAAATGCAAGTTTTTTTCTTTTATCTTGAAAACCGTTATAGAAAGAGAATTGTTTGGAATCACAAGATTTACGTACTGTCTATTTACATCTAAATTGTAAGATGACTATTTCTAGGAATAATTTTCCTTTATTGACGTTTTTTTTTATTTTGTGTTTTGTCTATTATTTTGAAAATTATAATAGGTAGAGAGAATCTTTCAATCAATTATTATAGCGAAAATGATCACAAATAATTCCACATGATTGAAAGCGGCAATTGACCCTTTTTTACCCTTTTGTTCTATTTTTGGCCATGTTGGCCATGTTGTTCCGCAGGCGGGCTCACCGCACACATTCTTTATAGTAGATACCCTTATTTTTCTCTCTCACTTCACTATACTCCAGGCTAACCTTGTCTTATATATACTTTGCACATTATATTCCATTTTCTTCTTCCTTATATCTGGTGTTTGTTTTTGATTTGCATGCACTCCTATTATGTTTTCGTCATTATTAAATAATTCTTAAATTATTAGCATATCAACAAAAACTTGAATATGATTAGTCGATTTTCTTTCCTGGGTTTTACACTTCAATAAACCATGTTGCCAAAACTACTTCCGTTGCCTCTGTGTAAAATATATTCATGGGCGATACACACGAAGGAAATCGCCGGTCTAAAAAGACTTTAAATAAAAAAATAATGAATAAAAATGTATCGGTTACGAATTATGAGTATTAAACACATTTTGTATGCCCCCGCCGCTAGACGATGGGGGCATTAAGTCTAGTCCTTGTCTGTCAGTCCAGTCCGTCCGTCGTGTACGTTCCCAAAATTGGTTCCCGTCCTCTAACTTTAGTTTGCCTCAACCAAATGTTATAAAACTTATACACTATGTTTATTACCACAAAACACAGATCAAATTTGAAGTTGAATGGCGTCACTTCTACCGTTCTTGAGTCATGCCCCTTTATAAATAGACAAAGTGCTAAATCTGTCGTTTCCGTTCTCTACATTTAGTTTGCCTCAACCAAATGTTATTAAACTACTACACAATGTTTATTACTTCAAAACACAGATCAAGTTTGAAATTGGGTGGCATCACTTTTACCGTTCTTGAGTTTTGCCCCTTTACAAAAACAAAAAACAAACAATATCCCTAATTAAGTGTCCAACCCTTTTTCTAAATTTGCAAATAAAATTCGTTAAAACTAAATTGATTGTGGCCAAATTTGTTTCACTTTGGCCAAAAGGTTTAAAAAAAAGAAGATTTTTGTAAAATTTAATGAACAGTGACGGGCGCAAAGTGAGGAGAAAATCTCATTTAACCCTATGGTTCAGGTGAGCTAAAAATCTGTGATAATGAATTTTAATCTGAAATCACAAATTACAAAAAAAAACTGTGATAACGAATTCCACAAATTCGTTATCACGAATATAATCCGTTATAACAAATTATACAATTCGTTATAACGATTTTAATTCGTTATCACAAATTACAAAAAAAAACGTGATAACGAATTTAATTCGTAATTACGAATTATAAAATCTGGTAAAACGATTTCCACCAATTCGTTATCACAAATTTAATCTGTTATAACAAATTATACAATTCGTGATTTCGAATTCAAATTATATTTTAGGAATGTTCTAAATGGGCTTCCGTACATGTAAGTAGCAGGCTAAGTTTAATTTGAATACATAAAATTAAACCGCTTAAACGCCATTTCATATTTATTTGCACATTTCAAATGCGATAAGAACCCAAACGGGTTAATCCATATATATATATGCAGTGAGAAACATTATAAAAACTACATCTGACTGAAGCGGATCTCTTTAAGATCTTTAGTTAGAAGTTATCTGTTCACTTTAATGTTTACCAACTATATTTTTGCAATAAATTATTCACACAGCTAGTTAACTCCATGCTACGACAATCTTCTTGGACGGTAGGGATTCAATTAGTTATTATTAACTGTAAAATATTTTATGTTATATATGTGTCAAGTTGTACCTACTAATCTGGAGATATAATTTACGTTTTTCAACACTCAATTTCCGTGTAAGTGTAAAACGATTTGACGTACAACAATGACTACTCTTCCTGGTCTAGAAAATATCATTTAAATGTAATTTGATGTCGATATATAGATTGTAAATGAAAATTAGACGTTTAACAAAAAAATTTACTTTTCTAGAGAGTACATTATGTTACATCCTATAAATTTTGATAAAAATAAAAATATTTTGCAAATCGCTTATCTCCATAGGCATGACAAATAGGTACTTGTCTAAATTTACAGCTTTAAAAAAGAAATACATCTTAGCACAAAGCTCTCGTTAAACGACTGTTTTTGTTCATTTGAAGGAGAACAACGTGAGTATTTTTTTTTTATCTGATTACATTTTATTTCACTATTATGATATAGCATCAAATATTTCATGTAAATAAAATGAATAAATAATCTTTATTTCAAGAGGATAATCCCATTAGTTAAAACTAATCTTCCTGAGAGTCCTCAAAATAATAATAACATATTTATAAAGTACATACGATATTATAATAAATGACTGAATAATAGCCAAGATAAATCTTACGGGGCGATGTATCATAAAATTATGATACAGTACACTACAAAATATAATATATAACAAGTCAAAAAGGGTACAACATCACCAAAACATAATTAAATCATGAACAAA